ACCCGGCGTGGGTGGGGACGGGGGGGCATGGCTGCGGAGCCCTGTCGGTTGTAGAGGAAAAGCAATCCAAGTGGAATTTGGAACGAATTGCCATCACGTGGCCGTGCTTTGCAGCATGCTCCTGTGACCTGGGCTGTTGCAAACTGCTTGGTGTGCTGGGTGGTGACACGTGTGACCATTACGGACTTTCCCTCACTGAATGCACCGGGCGCGACCCAAGTCATCAGTCGTCTGGCAGACGAAACACAAAGTTTCCACACAGGGTCAACTTCTGTGCTGCTTTCACACGGGGTCGCCAGTGGGCTGTGGCCACCTGGGCACCCGAGGGAAGCTGGGGCTTCCCGCTGCCTCCCTCGCTCAGTGACCCTCAGACAGGGGACTGTCACAGGGTGCCACTGTTTCCACTGCAAGCGACACCTTCCCACCTGCTCCACCCTTCGTGCGGGTGGCTATTAATCGTAAACTCGGGTGACAGCTAGAGGTGTGGAAAGGGTGTTAAAACCGCTCCTGTGTGATGCGGGGCCGTGGGCCTCTGGCAGTTCTTTGTTTAGCTGTTTACTTACTCCTCAAATATTTTTTTCTTCAAAGATCTAATAAGTCTGCCTGAGAGACCAGGGCAGCCACTTTTTATAAGGCGACCAGATATTAACCTGAAGATTAATAAAGTCATGCGGTGTCCTGGGGCTGTGGGGTGTGCGCGCCTCTTTTTTTCTGACAGAGGAAAGTGGCTTCTGGTTCCAGGGGGGCTTTATTGAGCTGTGACCGGAGGCTCGAGGCTTCGTAATTTGTGCACGAGAAGCGCCGTCTCCGTTGCTGGTGCAGCGTCTGCTGGGTGTCTCGTCGGCGGCAAACATTCGCTCCAGAAGCAGAAGGCTGGGCTCTCGCCCCTTCCGGGGGCACCGGGACGCTCATTCTGGGCCAGCGTGACCCTCTGGGGGCTTTATACCTGCCCCGCCCCCGGGCCCCAAACTACATCCTACGAGCGTGGTTTTCTCAGCACATACGGGACACAGAAGGAAAAGCTGCCCCCGGTCCCTGGTCCCCGGTCGCCTGAAAACTAAGTATTTGTGTCTATTTATTTTTTCTTGCGGCCAAACTAGTACAGAAACGTACAAGAGTGACTCAAACAAGTATGGAAAGGGGCCGTGCAGGTGTCTGGGGAAAGCACCTGTCGCGGTGAGTAGGCTCACGCGTGTCAGCTGCAGGGGCTGCAAAAGGCAGGGGAGATACAGATTGTGTGGGGACCAGAGCTTCAGGACACGGCACGACATGGAGGACACGTGGCCCTTAGGGAGGTCGGTGGCCCCTCTCACACCCACTGCCCCTCCGAGGGGAGACCCTGTTCCTGGGGTCCCGCAGCTTCTGCCTCCTGCTTTCGGGGTGTTAAAACAGCGTTGCCATGGTGACGGTGGGCCTCAGTTCACACTGTTCCTTGTGTCCTGTCCTGGAGTCGCAGGCCAGGTTGTTCTTGCTGCCCCCACAGAGGACAACGTGTGTCCCCTCCCAGCCGGGCACCCAGAACATCAGGCTCGGCCACGCGACCTGCTTTGGCTATTTCAGTGGCCAAACGTGTCATTTCCTACTGGACTTTTTACGGTAGCGGTCCCCAACCTGTCTGGCACAGGGACCGGGGCTCCTGTGAGCATCTAACCCCTGAGGACCTGAGATGGAGCTGAGGTGGTGACGCCGGCGCTGGGGAGCGGCCGCAGACGCAGATGGAGCTTCGCTCGCTGGCCGGCCGCTCACCTCCTGCCGTGTGGCCCGGCTCCTGGCAGCCCAGGGACCAGGACCGTGCACGGCCCGGGGGTGGGACCCCTGCTTTATGAGGCAGTGTATGTTTCTCCATTGCTGCTTTTCTCCTTCCACGGGACCGGGCCCATCCCGCCGGCCAGGGTCCCCGAGCGCAGGCGACGTGGGGCGGAGCAGCCGCCGGGGAGGAGAGCTCTTCGGTGCTGCGCACTCAGCGTGCCGTTCCCGGAGCCGGCGCCGCACGGTTGAACCCGCCTCGCCCGGCGGGGAGCCTTACAAGGCTGTGAGGGTCAAGCGTCTGGGACTCGCTGACGTACGTGAAAATAAGGCGGCAGGTAGCAATTTTGGTGACCACTCTGGGTCCACGTCCACTACAGTAGCTGGAGACAGACCGGTCGGCATGCAGATGTGGCACATGTGGGAGAGACACCCAGACCTCACAGACGTAGCTCGGGGTGTGAGCTGTCTCAATCATTTTGATTATTGTGTGGATTACATGTCGAAATGATACCTTCTGAACTTATCAGGAATAATCAAATGCAAGAGTCGCATGAATTTTGTTTGTTTCTTTTTACTTTTTTAATGGGCTCCTAATGGTTTTAAGGTTCACGTGTGGGTCAGACAGCCCTGCTCTGGGCTGCAGGTCACAGACCCGGGTCCTGCCGCGGCCTCGCCAGTGACCCCCGCGAGCCTGTGTGGACGGTGCTGGTGTAAACATGAGGCTCCCTCTTGCTTTACAACGTGCTCGTGTTTTCCGCCGGGGAGCGGGAGTCGGTTAGTCCCATGACTTTCAAATGCCTCGGGAACGTGGAACCTTGGAGTCCGAGGGAGGGGAACTGCTGGGCCGCTTTGCTCTGACGCGGAGCCCACCTCCCGCGTCCCCGCTTGCCCAGGGGGCAGGGGCGGGGGGCAGGGGCGGTCTCGCTCGGCTGCTGCCCTGCGCGCGCCGCTCACCGCCCGAGAAAACGCGAAGGCCCCGCGCTAATGGCCGTGTTGGGATGTTCCTCCGGGGCCATTCATCTTCATTGATTCTTTTGACACTCGTGTGGGGCGCAGGAAAGCGGACGCCCTGGGGACTACAGATTAGCCCTCTTCGTGCCGGCTCAGTTTATTATCTCGATGGCTGATCCATGGTCATTTGGAAAATGTCCGTCTTACCAGTTTAAAACACTTTTATGTGAAAACGTCCCTCGATTTTCACTAGGCCTCCAAAATCATCTACATAGATTTGTTTTACAGAGTCTGGATCCTCTGGGAGTTTTCTTCACGTGTGTGAAGTAGCTGCAAAGAGTTGCAGCGTCATTAATACCGTGAGGCTGTAGATCTAACAGCCTCGAACTGTGGTGTCACTTTGCGTGGTGCACAGTACACTGCGAAGCCGCCAGCTTTACACTCTGACCCGAGTGCCGGACACCACCCGCCTCGTGGCCGTCATCCTACCCCAAGAAGGGCGCCTCGCCTCGCGTCTGTCAGCAGGGCCTTAGCGAAGAGGAGGAGCGTGCGTCCTGTCCCCACGGGAAGGGACGGAAGGCCCGGCTGCCCTCCAAACGAAGCACGACCCCAGGAACAGCAGTTTAAATGCAACCGAAGCCACCTCTCTCCTGTGTAAACGAGGGCCTGAGGCAGGCACCCAGGGCTGGTGAGGCCTCCCAGGCCCCAGGGGCTCAGCTTCCTGTGCTCCTGCTTCTCCACAGTCCTCTGCCTCATGGCTCACAATGGCTGCCTGAACTCCCTCCATCGCGGTCATGTGCCCATCGGCAGAAAAGAGGAAGGAAGGAAAAAAAGGGTCCACTGATAGCCTTTTAAAATGGCTTTCCGGAAGTGGCACATACACCTCCGCTTACGCACGACTGGCCAACACTTAGCCATTTGATTGCCAGGGACATTGTGGGGTACTGCTTTGATCTGAGCAGCCACGTGTTTGCTAAAAATTAGAGTTTATATTAATAGGAAGAAGGAGAGAGAAGATGTTAGGTAAAGAACTAGTATTCTCTTCTGTATCATCTTGCATTAATAATCCTTAGAAAATTTGGGGGGCTTTATTTTGTAATACCTGATTGGTTCTTGATTCTAAACCAGCGAGGGAGATGGTGTTAGCTCCGTTTCTCAGATAAGAAGCTGAAGTCCGGCTGCTGTGTTTCTACTAACTCAAGGTCATACTGATAATGGCTGTAATCGCTGTGAACGTTGGGTGTGCAGGCCGACTTAATTTCGGTCCCTCCAAAACCCGACGAGCTGGCTCTATTATACCCCAGCTTTACCCCCGAGGAAGTGTTGCATAACTTGCCCAAGGTCCCAGGCAGCTCAACAGATAGAAGGCAGGCCTGGCAGTGGAACACAGCCGTCTGCCCCAACCACGCTCCCGTGCGAGGCTGTGCGGGTCCGGCTTGTCGGAGCAGGAAGGGCCGACGGAGCTCGGGAGGGACGGACCCTCGGGAGTCCCCTTGCTGTGGAAGCAGCCGGCCAAGTACTTTGATCTGATCGTCACAGGAAAAGGCAGAGAGAAAGGAGGCCGCACAGGCCTTGGCCGCCAGACCCCGCTCCCCGGCTTCCGCCGGTGTTGCACGAAGTGCTTCTACGTGGGGTTTGCTGAAATCCTCGTTAGGCGCCTCAAATATTTATGGCTGTTTGAGTTTGGTTCGCTGCCATAATGCGTTCGTACATTAAGCGGTTTTTACGCTGTCAGGCCTCCCCATCCATCACGCCGGCCTGTTTCCAGCACGTCCAGCGACCAGAGCCACATGCCCTAATGTCTCCTTTGGCTGTTTCATCAAATGGCTCATAAACTGATGACTATTACTGTATTAGGAAGGCACATCGCGGTCCTCGGATGGCGTGTTGACATGCTTGCGTTTCTTTTTCTCAAGAGAAATGATGATTAAAGCGGAACAGTCTTTTGCAGGAGGACATTTTATAACCATTTCAGCCTGATGAAATTCAAACGGGGACCGTCCGGCCTCCGACAAAGGCTGAGTGGGCGAGTCACTGCCAGTGAGCGACTGAGACCCCTGCTTCTCTCTTCTTCGCAGGGAGCTGGGAGGGGGCGAGACATTTGCCGAGTGTCTCTCTGGGTGACCAAATCCACCTACCCGCTCTTTGGACAATCACTAGCCTGAAGGATGTTTTGGTTCCCTTTGTGAATTAGACAGAACAGCACTCGGCTGCTTCCTCCCCCTCAGGGGCTCCCCGCCGGCCTCTGGCAGGACCTGTGCTGTCCCCGCAGCGAGGAGGCACAGTGCTGGCTCACTCACCCCCGAAGCCTCGGTGCAGCACACGAGGCAGCCCCCCGCAGACGCTGGCACTCTGCTTGGGGATGGGCGAGCCGGACGGGCCGCGGGAGCCATCAGCAGTGCTGTGGTCGGAAGCGCTGTGTGAGGGTCCGATGTCGTGCTGCCTGCAAGAGACTCCCTTGAGCTCTGAGGACACACACAGGCTTGCAGTGAAGGGGTGGGAAATGACATTCCAAGCAGATGGTGACCAAAGAAAGCAGAGGTCGCTATATTTACATCAGGCAAAGTAGACTTTCAGCCAAAAATGGTCGCAAGAGACAAAGAAGGTCATTCTATAATGACAAAGGGTCGACTCATCAAGAAGATATGACAATTGTAAATTTCTGTGTGCCCAGCACCAGAGCACCTAGATACATAAAGCAGATTCTAACAGAACCAAGAGGAGAAGTAAATGGAAATACGATAATAGTTGGGAGCTTTAATATCCCACGCTCAACAATGAGTAGATCATCCAGACAGAGAATCAATAAGCAAACAGCAAATTTGAACAACACTAGAGAGCAAATAAATCTATCAGACATTCCATCCAACAGCAGCAAAATACACATTCTTCTCAGCTGCACATGGAACATTTTCTAGGATCGGTCATAGGCTGGGTCACAAAACAAATCTCAACAAATTCAAGAGGAGAGAAATTATATCAAGTATCATTTCTGAACACACGATATGAACCTAGACATCGATAACAGGAGGAAAGCTGGAAAATTCACAAATACGTTGGAATTAAATAATGCTTCTGAATAACCGATGGCTTGAAGAAGAAATCAAAAGTGTAATTTTTTAAATCTTGAGAAATCAAAATGGCAACAATATACCAAAACTTATGAGATACAGCAAAAGCTGTCCTGAGAGGAATGTGTGTAGCTATAAACACATCGAGAAACAAGAAAGACCTCAAATAAGCAACCTAACTTTACACCTCAAAGGACTCGATAAGGACGAAAAACTAAGCCCAAAGTTAGCAGGAGGAAGAGAATAATAAACATTAGAGCAGAAATAAACAAATAGAGAATGGGAAAACAATAGCAAAGATGAACAAAATTAAGAGTTGGTTCTTTGAAAAGACGAACAAAAGAGACAAACCTTTAGCTAGACTAATCGAGAAGAAGAAAGGACTCAGGTAGATATAAAATTATAAGAGGACACATGATAACAGATAACACAGAAACACAACGGACCGAAAGAGACGGCTACGAATAATTACGTACCAATAAATGGGACAATCTAGAAGAAATGGATCAATTCCTAGAAACATATGCCACCTACTAAGAGTGAATCATGAAGAAGCCGAAAATCTGAATAGGCCAGTAAGGCGAGGACGTCGAATCAGTGATCACAAACCTTCAACAGGGAAAAGCCCAGAACCAGATGGTTTCACAGCAAAAGGGAGCACATGGGATGATATCAGATTAAAAATCTGTGTACGGAAAAAATAATCAACGAAATTAAAAGAGAACTTATGGGACGAGAGGAAATATTTGCAAATTACATATCTGATAAGGGATTAATATCCAAAAATACATAAGGAACTCATACAACTCAATAGCAAAATAATAAATAATATGATTAAAAGATGAGCAAAGATCCTTGACATATATTTTTCGAAAGGAGACATGCAGATGGCCAACAGGTGCATGAAAAGATGTCTGGCATCACTAGTATTTGGGAAAAAGCAAACCAAACCACAATGAGATCTCGCCTCCCACCTGTCAGAATGGCCATCGTCAGAATGGGCAAACGAGTGTTGGGGTGTGGAGAAGCTGGCACCCTTGTGCCTCGGTGGGAACGTGAGTTAGTGCAGCCGCCATGGAAAACGAGACAGTATGGGGTCTTCTCGCATTAACAATATGACTACCGCACACTCCAGCAGTCTCCCTGCTGGGTATTATTTATCTGAAGGAAACGAAGTCACTTCCTGGGAGAGGTATGGGCGCCCCGTGTCCGCTGAGGCAGATTCACGGCAGCCGAGACGTGGAAGCAGCCCGTGTCCATCAGCGGACGACTGGCTCACGAAGAGGTGGAGCCCGCGCCCAGCAGATTATTCTCCGGGCATAAAAACTCCGGCCATTCGTGACAAGACGAAGGAGGCGCGAAGCTAGGCTGAGCGACATACGCCAGACAGAGGAACGCGAACTCTGTGATCTCGGTCATTTGTGGGAACTGAAAAGGACCCTCGCAGACGCAGGCCCAGAGTCGATGGCGGTTGAGCTGGGG